TTATGGGGGCCATCATGGAGGCAATAGAACAGCTGCGAAGGTATTACAATCTGGGTTCTTTTGGCCAACATTATTCAAGGATGCCCATGTATTTGTTAAAAAGTGTGACCAGTGTCAAAGAACAGGAACAATCACAAAGAGGCATGAGATGCCCTTGAATAACATCATGGAGGTCAAGAATTTTTATATGTGGGGGATAGATTTTATGGGACCATTCCATTGTCCATAGGAAACAAATACATCTTGCTAGCAGTTGACTACGTGTCAAAATGGGTAGAGGCGATCGCATTGCCAACAAATGATGCCATAGTGGTAGCTGTGTTTGTAAAAAAGAACATATTCTCGAGGTTTGGGACTCCACGTGCCTTGATTAATGATGAAGGGACATATTTTTGCAATCGGTTGTGGGATAACCTTCTAGCTAAATATAGAGTCTGCCATAAAGTTGCTACAACATATCATCCGCAAACAAGTGGACAAGCTGAGGTGTCTAACAGAGAAATAAAGCAAATCTTAGAGAAAACGGTGAGTGTGAATAGGAAGGATTGGGCTGCAAAGTTAGATGATGCCTTGTGGGCATATAGAACTGTATATAAAACGTCAATTAGGGTGTCGTCGTATAAGCTTGTTTATGGGAAGGCATGTCACTTGCATGTTGAACTTGAACACAAAGCGTACTGGGCCATTAAAAAGTTGAATATGGACCTTGAAGCAGCAAGCAAGAAGAGACTCTTGTAGTTAAATGAGTTAGATGAGTTCAAGCTGCACCCTTATGAGAATGATAATCTATACAAAGAGAAAACGAAAAGATGGCATGACAAGCATATCAAGCCATGTCACTTTGATCCAGGACAATAAGTATTATTGTTCAATTTTAGGCTCAAGCTATTTCCTGGGAAGTTAAAATCGAGATGGTCATACCCGTTTGAGGTGGTGAGAGTCACTCCTTATGGTGCAATTGAGTTGTGTGCTTTAAATGGAGAAAGGAAATTTTTAGTAAATGGTCACATAGTCAAGCACTATTGGGGAGGAATAATTGATTGTGAGAAGACCAAAGTTTTGCTCGCTGATGATTAAGCAAGGTCATGCGTCGTGTCACGATGTTAAATCAGGCGCTTGTTGGGAGGTAACCCAGCTTTACTGCTTTCTTTTATTTTATTTTTATTTTTATTATATTATTTTTGTAGTGTTTATTTTTCTTTTGTAGGATTATAAGCATAAGAAGAAAAGTCATTGGAAGAGTACAAAAGCGAGCTAGATGGTGAGAACTAAGTGTGGGTTGCCCACACAAAGGATAACAATCGGGGGAAGTCTGAGTATCTCGTGAGCTGCTAATTCTTGGCTTACTAAGGAGTCTCTTTTACCCTCTTGTTATTAATAGTGTGCATTGAGGACATTGCATAATTTTAAGTGTGGGGTGAGGAGACCGTCTGGGTGATTTTCTGTACTATCTTAGCTTAGTTGTAGTATTCGTTCTTAGTGTAGTAGTTTTTGTTAAAAATAAAAAAATGAAAAAAGAAAAAAAAATCAGAAAATTGGGACTTTTCCTGATGATGGATCTCCTAGACAGTTTTCTTGAGGAATTTAAGTAGAAAGAAAAAGGACAAAAGATTTTCTTTGTAGGTAGTGTAGCAATTACCTCTTGGTTTTTTTTTTGTGTCGCGGTTCTTTTCCAAGGGTTTTGTTTGAACCGGGTGTAGTTAGTTTTATTTTTTAGGAGTAGGAGCCATTGTGCAATGAATTGAATTGAAGAAATATCTCTTAACTTGGTTATGCTTTAATAATAGTGAGTGCTTTAGTTGTGACGCTTAGGCTCAGTTTTTGACTCTTGTATAAGTACCTTAAATTGTATAATCTTAACTTAGCTTAACTGCTTTGACTAGAGTGTCTTGATGAGTCCAATCTGAGTGAGTATGTGCCATGTGTGTGTGAGGTTTGTGTGTTATTTTGTGCATTCCATTTGATGTCTAGAACTTTTCCCGTATGTTTGCAAAGCGAAATAGTAGTTTTGTTCAGTCTTGAAAGTGATATAGGCATTTTTTTGTTGAGCCAGATATATATATAGTTTACCCACCTAATTGTTATGTATCATAGTTAACCCTTTGAGCATGTAATCTTGTTTCTTTGTCAACCACATTACAAGTCTTACCCATTTGTTTGAATTAACCATCTATTTGAACTTTTTCACCTCTCATGAGCACTTGAATTGTTATGAACTTTGTAAAAGTTAAAGTGTGGGGTGGTTGGTTTGGATTTTGAGTAGAACTAATAAAATAAGAATAAAGGTGCACTGTTTTGAAAAAGTAAGAGTCACTAGAATTGAAAAAGAAAGAAAAAAAATACTTGTATTATTGTGGAAAATATTCCTTGATAGTGGTAACTCTTGATGTAATTGTGCTTAATGAAGTATGGAGTTAATGTATATTAATGTGAAGGTGGAGTTATGGTTTGACATAAGTATGGGGTTTTAAAAGGTAAAGTGTATGTATTAAAATGCTTAGGGAGGTATAGTCACTCTTATATCCAAATGTATCATACCCGTCCCGCAACATACATACAACCAATTAAAGTCTTAATTGATTCTAGACTGAATGAGCACGATTAATAGAGTAGTATACTACGGGCAAGCCTATGGTGTATCTTTTGTGGCATATGAATGTTATTTCTGAGAATGAGTGAATTCTTTCTATCTTGAGTTCCTAATTGTTCTTAAATTTTATTGTGTATGGAACTACTCTCTTTTGTTGTGTAAGGGCACTTGATTCATGAAGGAAAGGTAATGTCATTGACCTCTATGTTAGAGTAAGTGAGTGAGTTGTGAATAATGTGTGGTACTTGTGAGTCAAATCTTGAGGTGAAGATGTTACACTCTTGTGCTTAGTCTATTTTAAATATTCTTGGTATGATGAGTTAAGAGAATTATTTAAATAGGTTGTGTCTATATAAAGTGTAGTTTGATTGTACGAGGACGAACAATGGTTTAAGTGTGGGGTGTTGATGGTAGGCTATAATTACATATTTTAGTCGTTTATCGCAGTTTGAGCTTTAATCGCTAGTGTTTTGCACTAATATGTATTTTATGCCTTGTAGGAGTGATTCCAAGCTATGTAGTTGTTACGGAATGAAATCGAGCTATTTGGAGCTATGAAGTCTGATTAAAAGCTCAAGGGATTAAGTCAGGATTGCATTCGGGGGTCGAGAACCACGTCTGGACTTCAAAAACGAAGCAAAAAGGCAGACTCTGAGAATCTACCACAGTTGCGGCATGTGGGGAACTGCGCTGCGCATTTTCTGTTGCTGTCAATTTTGCACGCTCTCTGTCAATTTTTACAGAGTCACAATTCTATTTCTCATAGGAAAAGGTGTTTTCGTCTGGGCCCGATCCTGCTTGGTATAAATACATGTAAAAATATTGTTTTTGAGACTTTTGATACACCTTAGACCTAAGGAGACTATTTTGGAAGGGAGAAGACGTTGGGAACATTCTTTAAAGGAGAAAATCATCGAGTTCTTTATTCCTTCATCTTTTCTTTGTAATTTGTTTATGCAAAATACTTGGAAAGTTGTTACTGCGATTATGAGTGGCTAAAACCTATAATTCTGGGGTTGTGATTTAGCCATGAATATTGTTATTTAAAGTTGACTTAACCTTGATTATAATTCACCAATATATGGTTGTTTCTTCAATTCTGTGATTAATTGCTTAATTGTCTGGCCAGCAGTTAGGTTCTATTTACTATTTATTCTATGATTAGGAAAGCCATGTTTAGATTAGAGAAGAATTGAAGAGAGCACGATCTTAACTCTGAAGGGGTGGAGCTGTGGTTAGGATAGGAATATACCTAGTCATCGTGCTTAATTAAATATCGTAATTTTAATGTGTTCTTAATAGATTGATTTATAGGAATATATGCGTTAATCTATATTGAATAGGCGAGTAGTACTTCGGGAGAAGGCTATAAGAACAATTGTTCGATTAATTAGCAAGCATGAGTGAATTATTCGAAAGGGAGAGCTAACTAGGACACAATAGGATTGGTAAATCGATCACAACCATGGAATATTTGTCTCTACTGAATACAAAACAACTGTTTTGCTGCTTGATAATTTAGTTACTACTAGAATTATAGTTTAGTATAATTAAACTCTTGAACTCGAATTGGCTCGACTGAATAACAATCTTGGTGAGTTTAGTGGGTAGTTGATACAAGTCTCTGTGAGTTCGACACTCGACATATTATTTTATTACTTGTATGACCACGTATACTTGCATGTGCGTTAGGGAGTAACAATATATTCTCTTCGTTCACTTTTACTTGTCCACTATTCTAAAAATAATTTTTTACTTTTACTTGTCCACTTTCGCATATCAAGAGAAAAATAACTTATTTTTCCTGTTTTGCTCTTAGCATTAATTACTCATTTCAAATCATTTTTCAAATCCATTAAGACTATACACCAATTAATATGGGTGTCATGGTAAATTATGCACTTTATTTATTATTTTTTAAGGGGTGTGCAAAGTCAATAGTGGACAAATAAAAGTAAACGGAGGGAATAACTTAAATTTCTCATTTAACCCTTAATTATTATGGCAAACTTTATGACAACCTTAAACTATATGAACTAAGCAATGAATCAACTTCCACAAAGCTAGCCAAATATTACATGTTATGTACCAATAATGTAACAACGAGGAGCAGTAATCTGCAAGCTAGGCAAGAATGAAAAATGGCTCCGATATGTTGTATTTCAACAATTATATAGTTTACAAAAGTATACAAACTTGTATACATTCAAGAACTCTGCTTGTGGCTTCGAAGTATTCTGTTTCAAAACAATTTTATGGTTTACAAAATTTTACTACCTTGTCAAATTTCAGGAAACTCAGCACAAGTAGAAAAGAAAAGGCCCAAAGCCGTCGCAAACTTAATACTCTCATGACTCATGATTCCCAGAAAACTGAGCAGATTCAGCAATCAAACATGTCAACAATGATAACTACGAAACAACAGTAACGAAGTCGATATTAGTAGTTTGTGATTTCACAATATTTTCCGGTGAAAAGTTATGGCAGTCACAGAATGGAAGATGTTCCTCCCATATGTGAAATATCTTGAAACCACCTATATACAACTTACAAGCAAAAGTGAACATATCAAAAACAAAAACGATGGGTTGTAATAACGGCCTTCTTGGAAATAAGATCATATCAATACTGTACTTTTTTGCGACGATCCATGTTCAGTTGGCAGAGACAGAGGACTATTTAGAAGCGTCCGTGCTTCCTTCCGCAATGTCAATGCCCTTAACAGCAGCTGTCAATGATGATGATGTATTACACCTCCCATCCCTTTTCTCAAGGTCCCCAATCTCATCATCAGATGCATCTTCAAGAGAGGAGCCTGTTCGACGCAGTTCTTTGATTTTCCTATATTCGTCATAGTGTGCTCGCCTGTGCTCCCTAAAGCTCTTGCTCCTTTCTGAACCAGAATCTATTCGTAGCAACAACAAAAAAAATATAGACCAGAAAACAGTTGGTTGTGAGTAGAGTCTACAAACATGCTAGCATAATAGAAGTCATTGCTGCAACCCAACCCATCCCCTCTTTAGATCCAAATAAAATAAGAGAAAAAATACCAAAAGTCGCTGATCTAAAAGAACTGAAAAGTGCAAGCAGTTGATAACAAAAAATAACTAGGCAAGAAAGCAGCAGCACCGATTACAGAGCATTATAGCATAATGTCTTGCCGCCGAAACCCATAGGCAATGAGAAAACACACAAAAAGAGTGTCAAAAAGATGGCTTTTGACGATTTTATTTTTACATGAACATACTATAGTTGCAGAAGAGTATCTATTAGAAAGTTCTGTGTAATGAGAAAAGAAATCTGAACCACATTATTGAAACATAAAGGACAGATAAAACTAGACCTTCATCATCTTGGTCCATGATATCAGCCTCATCCTCAGAAGATGTCCAGCCAGACTGTCTGGAATTATTTCCACTGGAAGAAGCCATGTCACTCAATCCACTGGATACGACTTCTGAGTGTATTGTATCACCATTGGCCTCCTCAAAGCTATCCCACGGAGAAGAGAGAGATCCTACAGTATCATTGTAGTCAGAATAAAAGTGGAAAAGCAATAAAAGAAAAAGTTATAGTTCTAGTACTTGCATATTAACATGATTTTCACATTTAACATGTTCTTTCCACGCATTATAATATAACCCTATTTGACATTAAAATACCAACTTTCAAATCAACCCAATATCAAAGAATGCCAGGCTGATTTGAGAAAATAGTAAAAACTTACAATAATTTATTTGTACGTGAAATAAAATAGACTCCGGTAAAAACCTCATGCTCACATAGTTACCTTTATGATATCCTTTAAAAAGAAAATCCATACGAGTAGAGAGAAAAAAAAGCACATAATGTCCCATAAAATGCCGAATTCAGTTAATAACATGAGGAGAAAAGCAAGGCATAATGTGGATTGGGCTTATAAAGACCACGTCTAGAGGGATCATTTTAAAGCTTATGAAGAGGCGCACATCTCAACACTAACATGCGGTCAAGACCACAACATCCATATATATATATTTATGTGTTTATGTATAAGGTCACGTGCTTATCAAATTTTCCCTTCAATCAAGTGTCATTAATGTAATTTGAGAATTCAAAGGTAAAAAAACACTTCCTAGAAGATAACTGCTTAAGTCGAATACAGCTTGTTTCTAATTGTTCAAATACCCTTTTAGAAATTTTGAACATCTCAGTTTACATAATATAATTGGATGTCTTAGACCAATAACATAATATATCATCAAGCATTTAATGCTCATACTTTAAAGAAAATCCCAAAGGTTCCAAGTGCCTATAACATAAGTAGTGATAAGTTCCAACTACCACAATTTAAAAAAGTGTAGTAAGGTTGAGCATCAAATGAGAAGCTTCTAATGCTATAGAAATATTAAAAAAAAATAACAAATCAACTTCAGCATTTGGAGTTAAAGAAATACTTACAAACTAACTTTAATCAGACTATCTACAAAAATCAAATCCAAAACCAAGTCAAATTCCAGATCATCAATATGAATGAGACTCATTCAAAAGGGTTAAGCCACGAAGCACAGAAGCTCTTATGATGTCTGTAATAATACTTCAAGATCATCCCTCGGTAGAAGCTAATAATTGAGGGCAAGTAAGAAAGGTTAGTAACTACAAATTAACTACATCTCATCTATTTAATTGTCATGTAAAAAATCAGAATTTGCAACACATCACCATCAAATTTGTATGTTGATGCATAACAAGAAGGTTCTATTCTAAAGACTAGGCATGAGGAAACTAATAGAAATTGCATGAGCATACCATCATCATCATCGGTCATGCGGTGATATGGTGTCTTTGGTTCAGTTATTTTCTGCCTCACTGGTTTATTTGCCTCAATTTCTCCCAAATTTGCCTCATCCCATTGTACACGTGCCCTGCACACCAATGAAAAAAATGTCTGAAGCACTTAAATAACATCAGTAACAATACTAATTGCACGAGCAAAACTCAGATAGGTTCAGCTTCTTCTAAAAAGAGTAGGTCAAACAATTAGACCCCATTTTCCTTACCTTTTTACGAGGATTTCTTTAACTATTTTTATAGGGAGAATATAATTAAATTCTTCGAGCTAGAGAGAAGTTTATAGAAAAACCTACTTCAAGTTCCAGATATAAAGGTAGGTCAAGGCAATTAACTTTTTCTTTGGAAGTTTCTATTACTAAGGGAGCGGGGGAACGGGCCAGCGAAAAGGGAACAGTGAGAATTGAACCATCACCTATTGTGTTGGAAACTCCCATCGGAACCAGTAAGTTATAAAGCTTGTTGGTGGATAAATAAATTTGAACTTAGGGGGCCTAATAGTGCCTTCAGCAAAGAAATAATGATCCGCCTTGACTTAAGTCGTCCTTTTAAGGACCGCAGCATTTCCAGGTGAAACTTGCTAAGAAAATATATTCTACCCTCCTAATAAAACATACATTTTGGTATTTGAGTGCTGAAAAGCACATTAAGTCAACAGCAGGCTACTTATAAAAACATCATATTCCAACAGAATTTCCTTTCTTAATCTTAGTCCATGAAACAAACATTAGCAACTGAATTTGATCTAACTAAAATATAATTTACAGAGAATGAAGGCAGTACATTTGCCCTAGTATGATCAAATCTCGTTCAGTTGTTGTAGTCTAAACCGATTATCCTGAAAAAGAAACATACAGATAATATAAGCAAACCAAAACAGAAAAAAAGACTGATTAGATTTAATGAGTATATAAAGGATGTGTTAGGTATCCAGAGATTCTCAATGAAATCATTTTCATCGCGGAAATATTTTTACCCACCAAATGAGGAAGTCAATGGTTACTTACACCACTAGTTTTAACCAACACTTAGATATTATCTTCAACTATCAGAATATCAAAAAAAAAACAATATTCTTAAACTCTAGCATTCAACTTGTACAATTACTTTCAGACCTAAGTCCTAACCAAACCATAGAAAAATGATCCAGATTTCTCAATGAAAAACATTTTCCACCAAAAAAGAACACTTTTCTTCATATCAAACACACCTAAGCATATGAATATCCCATCTTTGCCCTTATTCAGAAAAATGATTAGTAATCTTAAAAGGCAGATTTATAGACCAGAACTTTCCAGTTATTACAAACTGAGAACAGTGGTGGATCTGGAACAATTCAGAAGGTTCAACTATGCCCATTAGTATCAGCTCAACACATGTATAATAATAATCTGTTACAATTATTTTGAACCAATTGACTTTAAACCCTGGATTCTCCTAGAATGCATATAAGCCACAAAATTAAATCAAGAAATCTTAGAGTAAAAGAGATGAACCGAGAACTAGGAATTGGGAGATCGCAATGTCGGGAGAAAGTTGACTGGTCTTCTGGTCGTCGTTCAATCCGCTTTTGACAAAATGAACTCCGCCGTCATATATTGAAAAATTGGCGGTGTTTGGGTCTGAATTTGGAAACCTTCAGCTTGTTGTCAACCGAACATGTAAAGGGACTGGACTAGAAAAGATTTGGGCTTGTTTGAAATCCATAGACCAAATGCCGAAAAATGACAAAATGGTCCCTTATTCTTAGAGTAGTTTTCAAATCAGTCCTTTAAATATATTCTTAAGCAATTTCAGTCCTTTAAGTTTATCAAAAGTAACACTTTTGATTTTCATCAAATAACAACATTTCCAGTATAATACCACAAGCGGGGTCTGAGGTAGGTGAATGTATGCCGACCTTATCCATACCTTGTGTAAGGTAGAGAGACTAATTCTGATAAACCCTCAGCTCAAGAAAAATATTTTTAAAATAGGTTTGAAAAATACAAGAGTAAATAAAGCTAAGACAAAAATACTGAAGAAAAAAAGTATTGATAAAAAATATAGTAAAGATAACAACAGTAGTAAAATTAAAGACTAAGATAATAATAATAATAATAATAATATTTAATAATAATAATAATAATAATAATAATAATAATAATAATATTGTTGAGGGGAAAGGGGAGCAGATTAGGTGTTCCCAACTAGAATCGCGTTCTCCCGCAGAAAAAAGAGAAATTGCTCGACTACCTACTAGCCTTATATCCTAATTTTTGGCTTCGCCCTCTTATATTGCATCATGTCCTCGGTGAGCTGAAGATATGTCATATCCTGTCTAATTATCTCTCCCCATTCTTCCTCGGTCTACCTCTACCTTTCTTTATACCTATCACTGTCAATCTTTCCCACTTTTTCAGTGTGGCATCTGTGCTCCTCATCTTCACATGCCCTCCACATCTTAGCCTCGCTTCCCGCATTTTGTCCACCATGGGGCCACTCCACCTTACCCAGTATATTTTCATTCCTAATCTTATCTTTCCTAGTATGACATGCATCTGTCTAAGCATCATCATTTCCACTACTTTCATCTTCTGAGCGTGTGAATTTTTGACAGCCAACACTCTGCCATATGCAACATATTAGTTTAACAACCATTCTATAGAACTTACCTTTAAGTCTTTAAGGCACATTCTTATCACATAAAACATTAGATGTGAGACTTCACTTTACTTACTCTGCTCCAATACGATGTGTGATATAATCATCGATCTCTCCATTTCCTTAGATTATTTTCATCAAAGTATGTTAAATATATATTAAATTGTTAAACTATTACTTATGTATTACGAAAAAATGGTGTTACTTATCTTATTCAATTACGGAAAAATGATGCACCGGTGAGAAGGTATGAGCGACTAGATGCGGTGGGCACGAGGAGAGGTAGAGGGAGACTTAAGAAGTGTTGAGGAGAGGTGATCAGGCAGGACATGCCGCATCTTAGGATTATTGAGGACATGGCCCTTGATAGGGAATTGTGGAGGTCGACCATTAAAGTTATAGGATAGGGGGAAGTTGTGGATATTTTTATAGCGCACTAGAGTGAGACTAGCCAGTTAGGAGTTAATCTTAGGATGCTTCTTGTCACACCTCCTTTTTCCGCCCCCGCGGGGGTGCGTAGGGAGTTTTCTCCAATTGAAGGACA